TACACACACACACACACATTATAAATACATACATACATATTATTTAGTTCGTATATTTTTTTCTTCGCAGTGTGATTTTATGTCGTACTTTTAGCCACCGAGAGGGGGCGCTGGTGCTCAAGCAGCTTAATGCAAAACGATGCCACAACCAAGTGGCAGGCATTAGTTTTTACCAGAGCCCTGTAAAGAGAGAGTTGCGACACTCTTTGAACTCGCCGATACGCGGTCACGTGGTTCATGCAGCTCCCCATAGTTCCAAACAGTTCATCGCTGTCAGTCAGTTTGAGCGGCTGCTGGCGCAACATAACACATAAATCGACTTTTCTTACTTTACCTGACGTCTTTCAGTAATTATTGAGCAGTAACGAACTGATTACTTAGCTGATTACTGATTATTTCACAGACTATGCATTTTATCAAAGCATTTTTAGAAGCAGCTGATACATTTATCATTAAATTTTAGAAGGAAACGAGACTGCAAACACATATTTGTTAGAAAAATAATGTATATGCAATACAGTGATCAATATAGCCATGTCAGTGTTTTATAACGTTAAAAAAAGATCAGAGTAACTCCTGTTATAAAGTTATTCTGATGTTCTCTGCATGAGAATGCTCCACCTTGTCCTCCATGCAGCAGTTCAGATCTGCTCCAGTTTACCTCAGATCATCTGGATGAATTCTTGATTTCTATAGAAGATATTAATTCAACCTTTATTTAAACAGGTTCGTCCCATTGAGCCACGAGGACTCATTTACAAGAGAGACTGAATATAATTGTTGTATTTGTCGTTTTTTTATGGCAACCAAGTACCTGATAACTGAGTTGATTGTAGCCTGACAACTATTGTAAAATTGTAATTCTTTGATTAAAATGTTAATTTAAATGAAACTGTTTCTAGTTAAAATCATAACAGATGACAAAATAAGTGTTAACTGTGCAAAAATAAATTTCCAAACAATTTATTATATAATATGTAAAATGTAAAGCAAGCTTTAATAAAGTACTTTTACTGACATTTATACTGTTTATTAATGACATCATCTGAAGTCAGCAGGAGCACCATCATCATCATCATCACAACAACACAAAGTGAGAGCTGTAAATTTAATCTGCACAAACATTTTCAATCAGGGCTCAAAATGTTTAACTGTCAAAGAAACGTGCTAGAAAATAAACTGATGTCACTCTACAGGCACATTTAGAAAGAGGACAGTTCACAGAGACACAGTGAGGACGTGTGAGACTGAAGGAGGTTCAACCAGTTGTTCATGGACCAGAACCAGATGAGAAGAACAGCAGAACTTCCACTGACCAGTGATCTGACCAGTGATCACACATGTTGTTCTAAATTAAACTTCGGTACGAACAGTGTTAAATAAGACATGTCATATTTTTATTGAACAATAATCTTCATTCTAACAGTGACGTTATAATTTCAGAGACTGAGGAAGAAACAGAAATGAGGCGAGTGAGATGAGGGACAGATGAAAATGTGTCCTCAGAGGACGGGGACATGTCAGGATCTGATGATCCAGGATCAACAGGGCCAGGATGGATCAACAGGACCAGGAGGATGGATCAACAGGACCAGGAGGATGAATCAAAAGGACCAGGAGGATGGATCAACAGGACCAGGAGGATGAATCAAAAGGACCAGGAGGATGGATCAACAGGCAGTCAGGGAACAGAGATGAACAACCTGAGGAAGAATTAGAACACAAAAACATACATAAGCAGGACAGAAGAAACTCACAGACAAGAAAATTAACTCAGTCCTGTGAAGAAAAATGTTAATGGAAAATAAATTGACATATTTTGACAAAAGATCAGATGAAGACAACTGGCATGAAGAATAACTTCCATCTCCATCTCAATGAACCTGTGATAGTTTAATAAGTGTTTTGTTACTGTCCTACAGTTTATTGATGCTGATATATTCTTGTAATAATTCTTATTTCTTGTTCTGTCTTGAAAGAGTCTCATCTCAACTTGACCCATGATTACCAAACACTAAACTAATAATATAAAACTAATGTAATTTAACAGTCCTGCAGTAAATACCAACTTTGTGAAGGTTATGGTGTTAAAGTAATTTTATTCAAACATCTTGATTCAGCTGTTATTGATTAATAGAAGACAGAAAATGAGATCTTGTACCTTTCTGATACTTTGAATGCAACATTCAGTTCATGAAGTCATTCTCCTCTGGTTTACCTGGAAAACATGAAAACATTGACTCATCTCCACAATCACGTTTTTCTTTAATGATAATGTCACAATTTATGCTGCAGTCTTTGACAAATGATCTATAACTTTAACTAAATTACGTCAATCTTGTTGTCATGTTGTCATCATTCTTTGTTAAATCAGGTCTCTCTTGTAAATGAGTCCTCGAGGCTCAATGGGATTTACCTGTAGAAATAAAGGTTGAATGAATCTCTCAGGAAAAAAAGACCAAATATTTTCTAGTTGAGTTCAGTAACTGGAATTACCATAAATTTAAAAAAGACCATCTTTCAAAATTTAATCAGTAATAGATATTTTAAAACGCTGAATTAGAAATAAACCTGTTAAACCGTCATGTTGCAGAGCAGCTGCAGTTAAAACACAACTAGTAATTTAACATGTTTCATTAACTAAAACTGGCGACATGAAGTATTAATGTTGATAAATTGTGGTACAGAACAGTCAGATAACGCTTCACAATGGAGAAAAAGTGTCGTATTTGCATCAACTTACCGGAAAAACACGGAGAATGAACTACGTTCAATGCTGAACCCGCTGCTGTTTGGAACTCTTTGCCGCTTCATGACCCACGTGACTTCCGCATTCCATTCTTTCTATGGGAGTCTATGGGAGTGTCGCAACTCTCTCTTTACAGGGCTCTGGTTTTTACCATAAGAAAAATAAAACTATTTCCACCAAAAAGAGCACTAGGTTACAGTTTTCTCTCAGTACATTGCAAAACTATAATATAAATATTTACCGCAGGCGAATGGACGGAGATACTTGTAATAATAGTCAATGTAGCCCACTAGCACCAGAGTACAGGGCTTAACTCGGTGGAAAATTAATATTTTAAGTCGCCTTTTGTAGTTACTCAGACTTTTATAAACATCTTACAAAAAAAATAAAAAACAAAATACAACCAACTTGAGTCTTTTCTCCACTCAGCTATGTAAAGCGCTAACAGCCGCTAGCATTAAACGCGTTAGCGGTTTAGTCATGGTGCGTTCAGGGACTAAAAGAAAATGTGAATTTTAAGTGACAGATTAGCCAGTCGCCGTTCTCGTTTTGTTCCGTATTCTTTAACCAGAAATAATTAGGGTCGTGAACGAGATCAGGTGCTGAAGGATCCAAAGCTAAAAAGAATTATCTGTATTTGACGTAAATTTTTAATGTAGCTGACGTCGTTCAAATTAAAATTTGACTGAACACTTCCGTTTCTGATTAAAAAAAAATATCTGTACCTTAATGTATCATTCGTGTACAGTAAAGGTGTAGGTAAAAATAAAAACAAACATTTAAAGACTGATTTTTATTAAGATATTTTATTAGTATAAAAATAAAAAGAAACACATTAAAGCAATTTGATTATCTTCATTGATTATCAGCTGGTTTAAAAAACAAATTTCTCTTTGATCTTGTGGGATTTTATGTGAATAACATGAAAATGAAAAGCAAAATATTTGTATTTGTTCATGAAAAACATGATTTATAAGATTTTATTAGTGAAAAACTAACCATACCAACAGATATGAATCTGTATCACAAGTGAAAAGTTTAACACTAAAGAGAAAAGAAATAATACAATTAAAATAAAATTATTCAGACTTGATCCGTTTAATCACCAATACAAATCAATTCAAGTCACCTAAAAATATTCTCTGGTAAATTTTGGAAGGCGCTTGCTGAAGCGACTAAAGTTCACAACTAATTATATATTTTGTGTATAAAACTTTTAAAACCTGTTTAAATTGCACTTTGGTTTATTTAAACACAACAAAGACGAAGAAAAGCTCGTCTTTCACACTTGGTAGCTTTTTTCTAAACTGAAAATGCTCCTGTCAGATGATAAAAAAGGTCAACAATGCAAATTTGGGAGCGGAAGATAAGACGCTCAATAGAAATCTGAAAAATGTATTACCTCGAAACATTAAAAAATACGGAAATATCACTGCAGTTATTTAAATATTTTAAATGAATAATCTGGTTTATTTTAACCTAGTTCCTTCCTGCTGCCTGTAGGTAATAAATGTTTATTAATCTGCAGCTAAAATAGTCTAACAATTTACTAAACCCTTAAATTTCTTTAATTTGATTTATTGTAAAAGTTATCATTCAGGTTAGCAGTTAGAAAGTATTAGAAACAGGCCACATGCATAATCTTTACTGCTAATATAAAAAGCTAGTCTTATTCAACAATAAAAAAATAAAAAAACGGTATAAAACTTCTGAATGCCTTCATTAAACTTCCTGCTGTTTTTGTTTCTCCTATGATTATCATAAAAATCTTGATTTTAAAAACACTTACAGCCTCTTTAAACGGGCAGAGCTAAATTCTTTAAAGCTAAGTGGTTTTCATAGCGGATCACACACAAGCTCAGTAATCTGAAATAATCCTTCACGCCTGCTGTGGCAGAAAGGGGAAGCCCAGGTCTACTGAAACGGTTTCCTGTTTAACCGTTTTCAGAGCTGCCTCCAATTATTTGGCGCCTCTTTCCTCTCCGAAGTGCACCACAAGAAATATAATTTATTTATTTTTTTTAAACCATGCTCTATTTAAATGACGGGTTCTGTTCCCTCACTGATGAAGATGATGTGATTAAACACAAACCCACACATATTTGGCAGGTGAGCTGGTGCTGGTATGCAAATGTCCTCAACTACAAATAAAACGGAAAGCAAGGAGGTGAATCAGGCTGAAAGAAGCAGGATGTGAACGTACAGAACAATCGTGTAATTACTGATGGTGAAACTACAACATGAAGGCAGGAGTTTGAAATTAAAAAAAGGGAGTGGGTTGAAAATGTACGTTTGTTGTCCTGAAAGCAATTATTTGAATGAGTCACCAGAACAGAGTTTGTGTTGGCAAGGCCTTCAGCTTATTGAACTTCCTGGTTGATCTGCTGGTGAAAAGTGACCCTGTTCTAAATGTGAGTACAAAGGTACACCTGTGGGTGTAGTCCGAGAATGCTGCAGCAGCTCTGATGTTCCTAAAAGCTATATGAAGATGAAAAGAAACGCTCAAGTCCTGCACAGAAAACTGTTAGTTACGCTTGCATTGACAGATTGTTTGCAGAGTAAATGTTTGCTTTAAAAGGTGTGTATGTGCTCTTGATTTTCCCTTTGAATACATCTCCTCCTACTTCAGAGCCTTAGCTACAGATGAATAGGCGATGTGGATCTCCTCGTCCACCGGGCAGGTGGCAGAAAACTCCTCCCTGGCGTACGATGCGTTCAGGTACCTCCAGACGTTTGTCAGAGACTCGGGGATGGTGAAGTTTCTGTATTTTAAACAAACCACCTGAAAAAAAAAAAAAAGGAAGGGTTTGAGGAGCACGGTCACAAAGCCGCAGTGGAGATGAGGCGTTGCAGACTTTGATGGTTCACCTTCACGATGTGCAGCTTCGGCAGCAGATTGCAGTCAGCCAGAGAGAGCTCCTGGCCGTCCAGGAAGGGGCGCGACGAGGAAGTGACCTCATCGGCACTATTTGCGTCGATCTCGTCAGGAAGTGGGGTGCCGAGGTAGTCGTCTAACTTCTTCAGAGCCTTCAGCAGGCCTTTCTCAAGATCTGAGCACACGCGCAAACACAAATTTAGGGCACAGAAGCAGAAGGCGAGCGGTTCGCGGTGAAGCAGAAAACCAGACTGTAACGTTATGAACAGACGCTTCCTGTTGGCTCCGTTCATCTGAGAACAGCAGCTGAAAACACTTAACATATAATTTAAAACATATAACGTAATATAAAATAATAATAATGTGGAACCAGAGATTTTTTTTTCTTTGTGAAAATGCATTAATGCTGAAAAAATTAGGTAAAGGTTACCTAAAAGCTAAAAGTAGAAAAAGGCTAGCTAAAAGTGACAACAACTCTGCTCCTACAAGGTTCAGTCCTGGATCATCTGGAGCAGTGCATCACAACATTGATCAATATATCAAAACACTGGCTAAAATTGAAAAGTAGCAAAGGCCTACAGCTAAAAGCTAAACACAGCAAAAGTCAACAGCTTAAAGTAACACTGTTAGCATAAGAAAACAGAAACACGGAAAAAGCATCCTAAAGCAGATTTTTTTAAGAGAAAATGTTTTTAAAGGAATTTAAAAGACTTCAATGCATTTTATAGTGACATTTTTGGGGAAAATAAACAAAAATAATTTCAAATTTGAAAAGCAAAGTAAAAAAAAAAAAAAAGCACGTCACCTCAGCTGAATGAGCTGAATGTTTTGATGTAAACAGTTAAATCAGCACAAAGTTTGATTGCAAAAAAAACATGCAGGAAAAAAAACCAACAGGAAAACACAAATTGCACGTTGTTTTAAACATAAATACAAAAGAAAGTTTTTTTCCTCATCGTTAATATCATTAGTATTTCTGACAACTGACTTTGATTTGCCTGAGGGTTGGAGTTCTTGATGTAGGCAGAGAACTTGGAGAAGATGTCCACACCGGCTGTGTTGGACTCTGGATTACGAGCAGCCAGACGTGGACACCTGAGGGACAAACAGACGACTGATGACACACCAAACAGAAACTTGCATCAACAAAAAGAAACCGTAAAAAGCCTAGATTGTTGTGGAATGACACAAACTGTGGTAACCATGCCAACCGTTTGTCTCTACCAAACGTAAAAGACAAAACATTCATCTTAAAATGGAGCATCTCATAAAATGCTTGTTCAGCTCCGAACGGGATTGGAGATGATGAATGGTGCGATTACTTGGGAGGGCAGAGATTGTCCTCCAGGAACTCCTCGATCTTGTTGGTGTCGGTTTTCACCTCGCCGCCGCACAGCAGGAAAGGAGGCTGAGCACCCGGTGCCAGGTCCTTCAAGATATCTGGTTTCCTGCAACAAAAAAATAAAGGGAGAATAAGGGATTAAATGAAGCAAGACAAAAACAAAATTATTGTTTTGCAGCTAAAATCTTAACGGCTACGATGTAAATAAAATGCTGGAAGAACACTGGGGGTAAAAAGAGAAAAAACAAAACACACGCACCTCTTCATGTCCACCGTGGTGACGTCGAAGACGACTCCTTTCAGCCACAGAACCATGAAGAGACGCTGAGAGAATGGACAGTTGCCGATGACCTGACCATCACTTCCTGCCTGTAGGGAAACCCCCCCAACCCCACAAAGAATTTGTTATGTTGGCAACAATCACATCAAAGTTTAGCCTAATATTACACCGAGGCCCCGGATATTTAAGTTGAATATCTACACCCCTTTCAGGCTGCACCTGGTCTGGTACCAGGCCTCCTGTAGGACTCAGTTTTCACAAAGGGTTTTGTTTCCACTCATGTTTGTGATTGTTGTGAGCAGGATGTAAAGGTGAGGAGCCTTCAAGCAGGAAACTTTAACTCTCCGTGATTAGGTTGTTTTTCTGGTATTGTTATGCGACACAGCTGGAATGTGGATCTTGATTCGTCTTTAAGGAAACGGCAGAGCTGCTCCCTTTAGGTGCAAGTGGCACGTCTATCTCGGGGAGATAAAAGACTTCAAAGTCTTTCTTCTTATTAACTGACACAAAAGAATTACTAGCATGTTGGCTGAAGCTTCTGCAGAATCTGAACTGATTATTGTATCAGCTCTGGATTTACCGGTTGGCCCTAAACTCCTCGATAGTCATGAACTTTGGGTGATCTCTGTAACATCAACACATTAGAGCTGGTTGGTTACTGATCCGAGTCCTGGCACTAATCAGGACTTACGAGTCCGGTGTTCCAATGAACCCAGATCCTACGCGTCCTCTGGCAGGCTGCTGCTACACACGCTGCACAAGTTGGAGGAAAAACAACTGAATCATGGAAAACGCCGCAGACTCAAAATAAGAAAAACCGTGACAACACCTCCAGCTGGACGGAGGCTCCAGGGTCGACTCTGGACTCTCTTGAACATGAATTACGTTTCTCTCACACGGTTCTTGGGATTTTCCAGGGGTTTGAAAAGATTTCTAGACATGTATGCCCTTTTCACTCAGAAATGAGACTCGGACATTTACTCAATCACACTGACCAAAACGAGGCCACGTAACTCCATCTCTGCACCGGCTTTCAACAAACCAGCCATAATTCCAGGCGTAGCAACAGCTGTGTGTTTTACACAGAATGACAGAAAACGTTTCCTCAAATGGAAACAGAATCAATAAAGGATTATGCTCTGAATGGGAGGAGCAGATGATAAATTATATTCAAAAGCATCAAATCCCGTCTATTTAAGCAATGTTAAGGAACACGGTGCAAGTTTCTGCTGTCAATAGTTTATTTTTGCATTTTCCTTTTCATAAAATCACCATAAAAGACAAAGAAATAATTTAACACACATCTAAGACTGATTAACTTATAGAGTCATGCTAAGTCAAGATGGCCGCCACAGCTAATCAAACTTAGCGAACACAAAAATGGCAACGACTCAGACAATTCTGCGGCAGTAGTTGAAAGACATTCCCAACAAACTGAGCGGTAACAAATGCGCAGCATCGCAATTTTAAAACTTTGACATGCAAGGTGATGTGTGCAGTCCTTCAAGAAATGCTGCTCTTATCCGTGAAATAAACAAAACAAACAAACAAACAGAACCTGTTGCACTAAATCTCTTCACAACTACGTTTTCAGATCATTGAGTCACTGAAAAGCTTCATCAAACCTTATTTACTATCAGAACTGGCACAGAAAATGTAATAAATATATAAACTTGTTTTGAAGCTCTCCTCACTACTTTTGGTTTGTAAACAAGTTTTCTGTGCTTGGTTTAATAACCAAATCTCATGAATGACCTTGGAACGTTTGCATGACTAATTTACACAGGTTTGAAAACGTGCTTCTATTTAAAGGCCCAGCTGTCCTTGAAGGACCTGCTGCCTTTCATGGCAGAGTTTCAGACTGAGGTCATCCACTGAGGTTAGAGAAGGTGGGCCTGTGATCGGAAGATCGCCGGTTCAACTCCCGGTACATCAAAATGTGGGTGGGATAGGTGAAGTACCCACACCTGCCTCCACTCTCATTCATCCCACCCTGGGCCCTTGAGCAAGGCCCTTAACCCCCACCACCTGCTCCACAGAGGGCTGTGGTAGCTCGGTGGTCTGCGTTTGCGTCAGGAAGGGCATCCGGCATAAAAATAATTACAGAGTCTTCGTGCGACTTAGTTCACTGTGGCGACCCCAGAAGAAGGGAGCAGCCGAAAGAAGAAAAAGAAAAACGCCCAGAAATGTTTAGTGTGATCTTGTTCAGTATCACCAGATGATGCTTGGAGTATAAGTTGGGAATGACTCTCAGCTACTACCACACTGTTTTAGCTCAGTATATGTAAACAGGGTGAAATAGAGCCATGTTCTGGCCATGGCCCCAACTTAAACTGGGTTGGCTCCAAAAGTTAAACAAACTGCTTTTTGAGAGTTACATTAAAATTTGCTCTGTGGATTACGAGATGTTTTACAGCACAGTTGTGAAGTGGTTAGAAGGATCCCCTCCCAACCTGGGGTTGCACTTCTTCTTCTTCTTCTTTCAGCTTTTCACTCTTCAAGGGTTGCCACAGCGAATTATTCTCCACCATCCTCACTCCAACTACCACCATGTCTTCTCTAACTACATCCATATTCCTCTTCTTTGTCTTCTTCCTTTCAGCTGCGTTTCTAACATCCTTCATATACCAACTGTCCCTCCTCTGGACATGTCCAAACCATCTCAATCTGGTCACTTTAACTTTATCTCCCAGTTGTTCAACCTGTGCTGTACCTCTGATGATCTCATTCCTAATCTTATCCATCCTAAGGAGAACCTCAACATCTTCATTTCTGCTACTTCTCATTCTTTCTCCTGTCTTTTGGTCAATACCACGGTCTCCAGACCATACAGCATAGCTGGTCTCACCACTGTCTTGTAAACTTTTCCTTTGACCTTTGTTGACACTCTGTTATCACAAATCACTCCTGAAACTTGTCTCCATCCACTCCATCCGGCCTGGACACGTGGGTTTTTTCCAGGTACTCCAATTTCCTCCCACAGACCAAAACATGCCTGTTAGGTTATTAAGTTCCTCTAATTTGCCCCTCGGTGTGAGTGAGAGTGTCAGTGGTTGTCTCGTTTGTCTCTCTATGTCCCTGTGATGGACATGTGACCTGTCCAGGCTGTTCCCCACCTCTGGATATAGGAACCAGCTCCCCATGATTTGGAAAGGAGAAGCAGTTAAAGATACAGACATGAGCAAAATAAAACATTATTGCTTTTTGCCTGGTGATAAAAACAAGAATGTGCAGCATTTCTAATACTTTGTGTTGCTTTAAACAATTGTGTTTTTAACTGCATCACACGCGCCACTTTTTGTACTAATCTGACTCATTTCAACCTCCAGTCTGTGAGAAACTAAAGTTCAGAGAATGGCTCTGGAAGTATGGTTTTACAGAAGTTACAACAGCATCTTTCACGCCTAAAAAGAGAAGGGAAAGGAGAGAAGGGCGGCTCACGTGTTGACACAGAGGACTCATTCTGTGAAAACATACTTCACACAGCAGCGTGTGTGTTTGGCTCAGAGAAAATGGGATTAAACTGCCAGGATAGTTGACTAAATATAGATTAAAGTCGTCTGCGCGTTGGCTTAATGTGCATTTAATTAGATTACAGTGGTTTATAAACCCGGTGAGTCATGAATGACACGAATCTTGTAACACAGATTGAAAATTTGCGTCAGGATTATTTGTTTTCTGGATTATTTTCTGTTCAGCTCACCTTCACGAAAAGTTCCATCCTGATCTGATCCACGTCGCTCATCTTCACAAAAGAAAAAAAAAAACTTTGCAGGGGAAGAAAGATACAATGAAGTGAGTGAAAAACTGTTAAAATGTAAGAAACGAGAAGCTAACTGGCAGGAGCGGCGCGCGCATCTTCCGCTACAAACTTCTACTGACTGAACGGTCAAGCACCGGAAACGCCTCGAAAAGCACTGAAAAGTTTAAATAAGCATAAATTTTAAGTATTTGGAGGCTCTAACCTTACAGCGCTGAAAGCTGATTTTATTTATTTGTTTTGTTTTTTAGCCGCTGGGTTTATCTCCTCTCGGTTCAGCTGCCGCTACACTATCATCATCATCCTCATCTTTATCATCGTCATAGCAGCGCCTCCATTTCCGGGTGTCGCGTGACGAGCTGAGCCTCAGCAGAGAGAGGCGAAGAAGAAGTCATGGAGGATTAATGTAACACGTCAGCAAAGCAGCGAAGTCTGTTTATCACCCGAAAGTCCCGCAATTATGTTTTTAGCCCCTCTGTGTGAGTGTGTTAACAAAATATCTTCTGCTGGGCGATAAGGAAATTTCTTAATGAGCAAATACAACTGATTAACTATTCCAAGATGGCCGCCACAATAACTCGCCTTAGAAAACACATAAAAGGTTACAACTCTGCCAATTTTACAGATATTGACCTCAAATTTGGAATGGTAGTAGCTGTGGCTGATCCTCAACACACATTCTGAGCGTTTGTGCAGAAGCTTTGTTTAAAGCTGTCAAAATATGTTATTTTCAATGTTTTTTATTTTAATATATTTGTATGAACTATGGTCAAAAACTAAATAGTCATGTTTGCTGCATTCTCTTTTTCTTCTTTCGACTGCTCCCTTCTTCAGGGGTCCTGATGCAACCACAGACCACCAAGCCACCACAGCCCTCTGTGTGGAGCAGAGCGCTAGGGCACCCGGGGGAGAAGATGTTGAGCAGATGATGTGCCTTGCTCAAGGGTCAGGCAAATGAGGGTGGAGGCAGGTGTGGGCTCACTTCACCTTTCCCTCACACCCGAGGGATTGACCCAGTGACCTCACAGGTTTGCCTTCTCTAACCTCTGCGCCACCACCTACCAAACGTTTATTACCGATTTTGCTTATTTAATACATTTTGTAGCAAATGTTTGCTGCATAAATTGTATTAAACGAGCAAAATCAGTAGGGCCATTTTGTTGCCAACAATTGCAAGTTGTTCGTTTACATTCGAACTTGGACCAGTACACTTCAGACAGTCTCGGCGAGCAAATCGGAAAAATATTTCCTGGATTAAAGGGTCACAGGCACAAAAGAATCAGAGATGCCAGGTCGATTGTTAGAAGGTCAAGTTCTTTTCCGAAAAGAAACAGAGATACAAGATGGCAAGGTGATACGAGTCAATCTGAAAACAAACTACAAATTTATAGTGCCTAATAAAATTTAACAAACTTATCCAAATCTTATTAGTATAAAAACAAAAATAAAGCCCCCACAACAAATTTTATACTGTGTTTCTAAAACCTTGACAAATGCTTATTATAAATAGAAAAGCACCCATTAAAAGAACTTAAATGTTGTAGAAAACCATTGAATTAGGTTTAAAACTTTTGCAAAGTCTGTGGAGCAGAAAAAAAAAAGTGTTTCATGTTTTATTCTGAAATGCTCTGATAATGTACCTTTGTTGCCCTCTGCAGACCAAACCAAGTTGTGCTCAAGTTATTTGTCAAATGCAAGGTTAACACAAGGTGAACAGTACAATGAAATGCTTAGGATGAGCAGAACCAATTTGACTCACTAAACAAATCAAAGAACAAACAAGAAATATCAAAGCGTGCAATAAGGGTACAAAAATAAAGTACCAAAAAGTGAAAAAGTAATTATAATATTTACAATGTCCTAAAGAGAGAGAGTAAGCTACAACATGGTAGAATATAACTGTGCAAGCAGGATGAATTTGAACGAATAAGTATTTCAAGGTAGTAATATAAGCTAAAAAGCACATGACATACAGTATATTGCACATACTACACAGGTTGTGTGACAGGTTATTGCACACGTAGTGACACTGAGATTGAATTATGATGGTAAGATAGTTACTGTATCATACATGATGCAGTCTAGTATCAGCCTAGATACAGCCTACATAGTGCAGCAGCAATAAACAATAAACATATTAGCTAATATTAGTCATATTAGTTGTCACAGATGTGGCTTGGTGCAAAGTTATTGCCAGTTGTTCAGTGTTATTTATCAAGAGTTCAGTAATCTGACAGCTTGTGGGTAATAGCTGTCCTTCAGTCTTTTTGTACGCGATGGCAGACTCCTGTATCGTCTGCCTGAGGGTAGTAGAAGGAAGAGTCCTTGTGCTGGGTGGGTGTGGTCCTGACGATGATCTCAGAGCATGATGGTAGGTGACTGAACTCTTTTCTTTCCAGCTGTCAGAAGGAAAGAAGTTGTTCTGACTCACCATCTTGCTAAAAAAAAGGTCTCCTGGTCCAGATCCTGGTAGATGGGCTCTTAAAAAAATTATAAACATGTTCCGCCTGTTTCTCCTTCATTTAGTCACCACACATATTTTTGTGACTACTGTACAAACGTTGATCAGCCGGTGAACAGAGAGCTTCACCTTGCAGCTCAGCTTTGGACGCTTTTGACCTGTTGACGCCAACAGGACCACATCATCTGCAAATGGCAGAGATGGAATCCTGAGCTCACCAAACCGGACCATTTGCGCCCCCTGGCTGCACCGAGAAATTCTGTCCATAAAGAACAAAGTCCATGCTCAATAATCCAGGTATACAATCCAACATTTTTCAGTCAGGTCATCTGGACAATTTCTTTTTTTTTAATGCTGAAACATTTCGCCTTCAATCCAGAAGGCTTCATCAGTTAAGGAAACACACAACACAAAACTGATTCTTCCCTCCAAAGTGGAACAAACCAGTTTTGTTGGTGCTAAGTTGGTCTCTTTGGAACGCCCCCTCCTCCATTGCCGGCCCTCTTCCTTGTTGACAGCCGTGTCAAATTGGTTGAAAACAACAAAGTCCATGCTCAATAATCCAGGTATATAAAGGTTATGAACAGAATTGGTAACAACAGGCAGGCCTGGTGGAGCCCAGCTCCCGCCCTGAAGAAGTCTGACTTGACCGGCAATGAGAACAAAACTCTTGCACCGCTTGTACAGGGACTGAATGTGCCCACAGTCTCATGCTCACGGAGTGTCCCCTACAGAGTCCCTCAAGGAACACGGTCAAACGCCTTCTCCAAGTGCACAAAACACATGTAGGCTGGTTGGGCAAACTCCCATGACCCCCCAAGGACCCCAGTGAGGGTAAAGAGCTGGTCCAATGTTCTACGGCACGAACAGATTGTTCACATCAACAATCAATAAAACATATTCATACTGTAATGAAAACAAATGCCTATCAAAGTCTGGCAGAAACAGAGCTAGTTGCTGCTTGGAGCCACCTGTGAGTTTAAAGCACTAGAGGGCATCATTGGTTTGTAAATAACTGGTAGATGATATCCTGATGCATGCTCAACTGGTAGATGAAGTGGTGAAACCAGATTTTCATCTCCTCTCTGAAAAACAATAGTCTGCAGCCGATTGTCTTTCTGCCACACCCTCCTTGTATTCAGTTTCTTTTTAGGGGTCCAAGCCAGCGGAGTCAGGGAAACACAGCTGCAAAGCCGCAGCGAACCTACTGAAACGGTTTTGTTTATTATCATTCTTTTTCATGCTGCAGCCCAAACAGGAAGTAGTACTAAGATGATATTTACATGGTATGGACTGCGTGAAGGGCAGAGGAAAATACTCTGACATATAGAGGGCGCCTCAACTGGGGACTTTTCTGTTGTTTAATTTCTAAACCATAAGACAAAGTTTTATGACTTATATTTCTACAATCCCTGCAGGCTGGCGACCCCTGAAGAGGGACAAGCCGAAAGAAGAAGATATCAACATATTTGAAAAAGTAAATACATTCAAACCGCATATTGTTTTTTATGTTTGATTTCAAAATTTGCATGAGTGCCTTTAACACAACTAGCTAAAGTCAACTTAACGCAGCCCAAGCTGTCATCCCTCATTATGGTTTTATTGGCATTTCATCAACTAGCACGTCTCAGTTACATCAAGTGGTGAAATGTTAAAGTTTCATTATAACAAGCATTAAGCCAATGTTCCCCATTGCTGAGGGATTTAAATGTTTGTAGTTTAGAAATAGTTTTTTTTGTTTGTTTGTTTTTATCTCGACAGCACAAAGGTGCAGATCCTGCCAAGTGGCTGGAGCAATTTTATCCACCACCAGGTGAACTGACAGAGCCATGGGGTGATCAATGGTGGCCTTGGCCATTGTAGATTATTCTTCCCAGCATTCAGGCTGTCCTGCTACCCAGAGGAACCAAGAGGCCAGCCGGCAAGGAGATGGGAATGCATCTACGGCGCCTCCTTTTCAACTCATTTGAGTGGATGGATTGGACGGCATCTGCGGCCAGTTTCTTGGGATCCACCTTGACAAGAGATCCTTCCTGCCTGCAGTTATCAGTACCTATAACATCTCTTAATGAAACAAGGATAACAAGTTACAAAAACATTTAATTTCCCTTTGGGATTCATAAAGTATTTTTGAATTGGATTGAATTGAATAAGAGCTGAACTCACACGCCGCTCCTTTCCCTCCCACTGAGGATCCCCAGGGTCTTTAGCATGGTCTATATGGGAGATGTTTTGGTCACAGGAATGTGGACCAGTCTAACAAACCAATTAAATTTTGAATTTTTGGTGTCAGAATGATTACCACAGCTGATGAAAATTTTTACAGAACAAAAATTTGATGTAAGGGCTGAGATTAATTCCCAACTGATGTTCCAAGGGCTAACATATACTGTCCTACCACTATTTTCTCTTTGTGTTTTGGGTTCATGGTTGTTTTATTGTACAGTTAATTGAAGTCATACATGCAAAGTGTTGTTTTCTTACATCCTTTCTGAAAACATGAGGTTTTATCTTTCATTCTTATTTAACTTTTATTTTATTTTCAATCCCAGTTGTTAAAATGGTCTTACGTGCTTGTCCGTTGTAGCACGTTTCTGTGGAATTGGCACAGGCGACGTCACTTCCTAACAGACAAATGCCAAAAACTCCAATGGGACACCGACGGCATGTCAGGCAGTTCACTGTTCAGCGGAAAGAAAAAAAAGATTAACGTGATTATTTGTTGTTTTAGGCGCCGATGATTGACAAGGAAATGGTTTGTAATGCAAGGATGACGGTAAAACACCGTCAAATGACTCCATCAACAGGATGGTTATAATAAAAATGTAAAAACTTTAAATGTTTTCGTAAACGTGACTAAAATTTGTTAAATTATGAAAAGTAGTTGGTTTCG